AGCCTCCCCCCATCATTCTTCCAGACCTGGCGTTGAATCGGGAGCCGAGAGCCTTCGGCCACCTGCGCAGAACTCACAAGGGCCGGCAAAATTCTCTGTGCCCTCTCTGGGGGGGCATTCTGTGTCCGCTCTGCCCAGCAGCCCCGTCAAAGTGGAAAGGTGGTATTTGGGTCAAGCGAGCTCTGTGCAGTTAACCAAAAAGCGGTATTAAACCAAACGTGTTTAAACCAATCCTTGTTTTTTAAATTTATATTTATCGCGGAGTTTGCCTAAAGTAAAAGACAGATCTAAGGAAAAAGGGGAAGGAAAAAAAGAAAGAAAGAAAGAGAAAAAGAAAAAAACTCTAAAGTTCTGAAATACAGTGACTTCCGATTTTCTCTTCAACAGATATAGACAAACCCATCCTCTCCCCTCCCTCTTAACTCTTCCAGAAATTCCTTCAGCCCCTTATTTAATTCTCATCTGTTTCAGTCACGATCATTTCACTTTTTTCTTCTTTTAGCAAAAAGTCCATTAAAAGTTTCCAGTCTTTTTAAACAACCGCGTCTTCTTTTCTCCCTGAGCAAGCAGCTCAGTTTTGCCATTTCTGCTACTTTTGGCATTGTTATGATCCATTCCTCCATTGTGGGAATTTCAGGACTCTTCCATCTTTATCTGTTTCTTTATTTATCACATTTTCGTAGCTGCCCGTCTCACACAGAGAGACTCTGGGCGGCATACAACAATTGAATAAAATAACAAGTGGATAGAAACAAGCATTTTAAAAAGATAAAAAGTTATAATTCAAATAAAAACATTACCACACGTTTTTAAAAAATTAGGTTTTAAAATATACAAACCCCACCGAGAGAGCAGAATATCAATCATAGCAGAGCCATCTAAGAATGTCTCCAGTTGTCCGTATGATAATTTTGCTAGAATACGTATACCTTTCTGCCCTCCCAAATGTTGGGGGAAATGACCAAGGACTCATTTAAGGTATCTTTGCATGGTGGCTTCAGTGTGTGTACAAACGTGTAAAGTTTCATTGGAAAAATGTCCAGGGCCCTGTTCCCTAGCAGCATCCAACTTCAAGAAAGACCCTTGGGTAGATACAGGTAGGTCACAATTAGTACCTGTTCAAATAATGCGATATCCGATTTAGTTCAAATTGTAGATGGATACCAGGTTGCCTTTAATGCGACCCAACAGTCCGTGAACGCAAGGCTAGCACGAGCACAGCTGAGCCTAGCGCATGAACAGTCGTGGTTGGGGTTTTAGGTGCTGCTCCTCTACGTGGGTGAAAAATGGAGAAAAGGAAGACTGGAGGAAAACAGTCCGAGTTTAAAAAAAGATGTTTTTGTCAGGGTGAGCTTACCTTTAGGAATGTCATTTAGAAGTTCTTTGGATTTATTTTGCTTTCTATAACTACTCTGTGACTTGGTTAACCATAAATTTAAATTATAAGTATATTCTTTTTATCCTTTACTGTAATATTTCATTAATATACATATAAACATTTATGTTTAAAAATTTTCATTGCCTATTTCCATCGAGCTAGGACCGATTACCATACTGCTCATTTAGCGACTGCCTTGTTTAGCGACCAATCGCAGTGATGGCGGTGAGGAAGCAGTAACTTTGCCACCCGTCCTCGCCTTGACGATCTTCACAGGTCTGTAAAGCAAAGGAAAGCCGAAGGAAGATTGTAAGCACAGGGGCGGTTTCACTTAGCGACCGCTTCGCTTAACCACCGAGTGGCCAGTCCCAATTGTGGTCGCTAAACGAGGATGACCTATATTTTCCATAGAAATATCACTTTGAATAGTGCAACTTTGAGTAATGTGACCATTTTGTGGGATTCGTTAACTGCACTAATTGAGACCTACCTGTATAGGCAAATAAGAGAAATGGGACATGGGCTTCTGTTGGAATAAGCAGGCAAAGAATTAAAGGGTCCTTAGCTTTTATTCCAACAACTAATCAAACGGACAAGCAAAAGAATTGTATTCCAGAACCCCAGAAACACTGGAAAATGGGCTCTGGAGTAGCCTTTGGCAGAAGTCACTAGGCAAAACGTGGTAGGGCTGGAGCTGAAGAGCAAGTGAGCTTTTGGATAGGAGGCCACCAGGAAACCCCAGGCTGTTAGATTGGGAAGCTGAAAAAAAAAATCTTGCAAAAAGACGAGGCAAATCATCTCTGTACAGTACTTTCATCCAAAAAACTATATAAATGTGTCCACATCACCCCCTGGGCTGAAATTCCAGACGAGGGTCCAGTGTCTTACATTTGCACCAGCAACTGGGGGAGGCCGATGCGAATGTTTTCCTTCAAAAACCCAAAGGCGAACTGCAGGACAGAAGAGAAACAAACTCCACGGGTGCAGGTTAGCCTAATCTCCCCAGCAAATGTCGAAAGAAGCCAGGAATGTTGGTAACTGGGTTCATAGCGGAGGCCGCAACTCGGTTCCATCCCGTTGGCGTCTCTCTTTCCCGCAGATCCGCCTACCAGCCCGGGGTCAGTAAAATCAGCTCCCGGGTCCTGCTTCGTTTCCCACAAAGAGTGAAGAACCAGGGGTTGGCGGACTTCCTTCCTGTGAAGCCACGGCACGAGTGGGAGTGGCACAGCTGTCACCAGTAAGTGAGCAAAGCGGGGCGGGGAGGAGCGTGCAAGGCTCATTTCCTCTTCGGCTGACCCGTTGATGAAGTGCCCCGTTTTCTGGATGGGTGTCATATCTAACCGTAACCGAAAGCTAACGAAAGGGCTTGGGTGCCTCCGATCAACTAAGCCGTCAAAGGCTTCGTTAACCCAGTTGAGTCTACTGGGCAATCTGGGGCACGCGAAGGCGGGGGAAAAAACAGTCAAAACCGCGGCTTCAGCTAGGCAATCCAAGCCGTGCGCGTGCAACGTGTGTCAAAAAGAGGCAGGGCCACGGTCACACCGTTGTGTTGGCCTTGGTGGCTTTTTTGACCTCCCCGGACCCCAGACTCCGGCAATTCAAAAGGAGAAATAGCCTGATGTTCCTGTTGAACGTGGATAGGGAAAGGGCAGAGAGAATTTCCGTCCTTATTTAACTCACACGCATGCACAAACCGGGTTGGGGTTCATAGTTCTCGAATTAAAATGATTTCCAAGGTTTTACTAGTTAAGAGGCATCGGATGCTATCTTCACTTGCACGGTTCTGCTCAGAATTGGGCAGGTGTAATACAGTCTTGTGCCCAGAGACTTACTGAACGAAATAGGTACTCAGGAGATCAGTGTTTCTCAACCTTGGCAACTGGAAGATGTGTGGACTTCAACTCCCAGAATTCCTC